TCCTATAAATAATTAATCTAAAATGCAAATAATTATATCTAAGATTTTGTTTGATAGAAATAGTAGTTGACACATAAAGCTATAGATTATGCCATGAATATCATAGGACATGCTATTGCTACGCAACCTTCAGATGTTTTGATTTCTAAGGCCAAATTGTTGGCTTTATCTTGCCAAACATTACACTAGTTCTCTAAAGTTAGACCAAAATCTACGCATGCATGCGACTTAAGTGAGTAATAATTACATAGCATTTTCAACAGTAGTTTTGCATAATGATCTAACCCAAAATTTTGATGGGTTTTCAAGTTCTAATTTGTCATTACTTTTATCCTAGTTGTTTCATATTCTGATATATAAATTCACAAAAGAGAAACCATGGACTCAATATATTATAACGTACTCATCATATATAAAGCATCATTTTATAGCTTTAGCAAATTTAGAATATTGTCTAGTCAAATAATCCGAAATTCAATTTTGGAGCTTTTGAATTCAGCTAAACTTTTGGCGTCACCAATCGAACGTAACAGGTTGAAATTTCGAGTCATAATTAGTTGCTAAACGCACTAAACAATTGCTTTGTTCTGGCTCGCAGCGAGTCATCGATTACGAGATAGTGATGTACCGTCGATCGAGAATCGAGATGTATCGGCAGATAGCGTAATGACGAGCCATTAAGCTAGGTGTCGAGCGCGTGGGAGCGTCCGCGCCCCACATTCTCCAAGACCGTCTAATCGCCATCACAATTACTCTAATTCGGCCAGAATTATTCCCGTGTAATATAACACTTTAATTGAATCGATGTAACTTATGCCTCTCGAACGTATTATTTGTAAATGATAACATCTATACACAATCACGTATTGTTGGCCCGAAAAGAGCATATAATTCTATAATTTCTTTTAAGACCATAACAACCTGGCTGCTGGTGACAACCGCAAAAATTCCAACAAAATGTCATTATAAGAGCAAAAAAATAGAACCTGTTCACAGGTTTATCTTTCGTCTTCAAGTACCGAAAAAAAAAGATAAAAGAACTGCGGGGAGCGCGTGCGCAAGCATTCGCCGCACTTTACTCCCGCCAAAAAACGTTGCGCCTCGGAATGCTTGGCGCGTCAGATATTTTTGTTACGTCGACCATCTGAGAGCATGTCCGAAAGGCGATTAGACGCGACGATCACTATTTCCACGTACATTCGTTATGCTTCGAAAACTATGGTTTACTGTCATGACCGTCGGATGCTTGGTTCTAAAACAACAGGCCAATTTGGATTATTTCGCGTTTATCAGCAGGTACGTCACGACCTGTCATTTAAAGGGGGCGTGTTGATTAATTGTTTTAAATGAGAGTAAAGGATGGAACAAACAAATCATATTTATTGACGATATTTTAACAATAATAAAATTTTACTTTAAAAAATTAACAAATATAATTAATGTTAATATTTCTTTTTAAGCGGCTTTCAAAAATTCTTAATTGTTATGTATTTTTTTCTTCAAATCGTGAGGAAAATACCCAATATGTTTGCATTATTAATAATTCTTATTTCAGTCTATTGGGTTTATTCCTGTGGTGATATCGTATTAAATATGTCACTATTTAAGTCGCTTTTTTATGGACTAAAATCACTTATATATAAATTTAAAGAGACTTACTTAAAATCATTATACGTTTTTTATAATCATTGTACCAATCATCATTTCAAAATATTTAATTAAAAGAATTCTGTTTTATTACTGTGTTAATCTTAATGGTCATCTTATCAAGAAACTCTATATTATCTACGATAGATGGGGACTTAAGTAATATGTGTTAAACTTAATCATTTCATTATCGTTGTCGGGTAAAATAAACTCACTCGTTTGCAACTAAAGATTTAAATAGGTAAACTCTCATGCCAGCGTAGGCAGAATAATTTATTTGACTTGCCAATGGCTACTAGCCTTCGTTTTTAAGATAAATTGATTCAATCTATACTAAATTAATTACGACTCGTACGAAATCCACAGGAAAGAAAGGGGTGGCCCTTCCTTTCACGTCGGTGTCGTAAAATGCGACTAAGGGAATTTTATGGTCGAGGAATGGGCAGCAGCATCTCTCTTAAAAAATCACCAAATAGTTAACTGCGGTTGCCAACCCGCCTGCCAAGTGTGGCAACTTTTGACAAAACCCACCGTATAGGGGAAGCCTATGTTGTGCAGTGGACAGTTAACGGCTGGTATAACGATGATGATGATGATGGTAGTAAATTAATTAGAAACAAAACGGTTGTTTAAACGTGTTAATATCTAAAACTACTAGTCGAATTTAAAAAAATCTTTTTACATTTGATACGTCTTTTCTTAGAAAAGTTATAGATTACTTGATATCACGATAAGATCACAGGTGATGCCTCAAGATACAGCTAATATTTCAATACGGACACTCAGAAAATCATCAAGCAATACTTTTTCAGTCATGCTCCTACTTATAACTAAGCAATAAAATGAAACGCCTCATAAAAATCTAACGAGAATCGATTTCACAATGGTGAATTCATGAATGAAAACATTGTCCAATTCGCACGTCCACCTGCTGAAGTCGTGATCATCAAAAACATCCGAGTAACATTTTTGAATCAACCACAACTGACTCTTAGATAGAGTAAAAAATATCCATGATCCACGAAAAATATATAAAAGTTCGGATAGTGTAAAAAAGAATTATCTATATTCCATTTGATGAATGATTTTAACCTTAAAACTGATAAATACAAATTTAAGCTTTTTATTTCTTTGGCAACTATTACACCTGTATTTTGTTTATATTTACTAAAAAATAAAATATAAGTAAAATATAAAAAAAATAATAAGATTTGTAATTTAGTAGCTTGTAAACTCTTTTTCTTTTTTTCTCTTTACACATAAAAATAAAGCTTTGTTCTAGTTTGTTATATTGTATCAGAAATGTGAAATTACTATTATATTATTCATTTCATTATATCTCAATAGGTATCAATTATATAGTATATATCACAACAAAAAAGAAATTGGAAGAATTATTAAAATCAATTAAGATTTTGCCTTTTATATTATTTGTTAGTTTGTTTATGGATAATTCTCTTAATTATTTTCAAAATATCATAAACATAAGGAAAATTTAATATAAAGTCAAATAAAATAAATGATATTATAGAGAATATAGAAACCATAGGTAATAGAGGTCAAACACTCGGCTAGACGACGATTTAAAAGGCATTAATAGAAATTACAGTGCAGCTTATAGGTACTTACGTCGCAACGAGAGCTGTATAAGCAATAATAAGCAGCAACGGTTGTGTTTCTCTCTTACTTCATAATCATAGCTTATGTAAGATACATTACTTATTATAGGAGTTTGACTATAATTTCGAATGGCAATCAAGTAAAATATTTCAACTAATATTTCGCTTTAGCGCTTACTAGTTATTGTTACTTGCAACTGCGACTTGGAATTTATAAAATTACGTGCTTCTTCATTTTTAAGTTTTATCATTATTTTTGGCTATTGTCTTGTTTTAAAATAAGATTATTATTTTGTTTTTAATATGTTGACCAATAAGATATGGTACAAAAGGTAACCTTAATACTATAGGCATTCTGTGCCAACCAGCCTTTAGGATTGACTAATTTTCAATGTATTTAATTAGCCCAGGCGTGGTTGTTTTAAAAATTGTGATTTCACAATCGACTAATGATTGTTTTTTTTTTTCTCTTGCAGATTTTAATTCTATTTTACATGATAAATAATTGTTTATTTACTTATTTTACACTTTATTTCACCTAGTGCATAGATTGGCAATACAAGGATATAGAGGTATTTTTTTGGTGAGATTGTTTTGCGCCGAACATAACTAATGTAGGTTACGTATTTACTATTTATATAAGTCTACGCATAGAATACTACATTCACTTGTAATTTGTAATAACAACAAAAATAAGAAAGAGAGAAACAATAGGTAACAGCTATAGCCAAATTTTCACAAAATCATAAAACAATACTAACCAAACTTGAATGTAGTTGTACCCCCACTATTCCTTAATATGCGTCGGAATAGGAAGCATTATTAATAATTACGTGTCTGGCGGTTGTTAGGACAACATAAACGGAGTTATTGCTGCCATAACGCAAGTAATGAAGTGGTGTTCACATGCTAATTGCGATCTACCGTACGTGTGTTAACTGCGTTATCCTAACCACGAATGGTTTTAGAAGCCTACTAGATGTTGTAATTGTTTAATGTAAATAATTCTAGTCACAATTAATTAAGTTGACGTTAAAAGTATGACATCATGCTAATGAAGCTTCTGTTACACGAATTAGTAAGCAATTTATATATACCTACAGATGAAATACGTAAAACTAAGAATCTACCCACGCTATAGAAAATATTAGGATAGAAACTTCTTGAATAGAAATTGAAATGATTAATATTGTGATCCACAAAAAAAAACAACTTCAATTGTCGCAAAACCAGTTATTTTTATTTCAAAACTAAACTACTGTTCCGATTTAGATAAAATTTCTATTGAATCAATCTGTAAGTATATGTTTACAGATAAAGAAATCATTTTCTAAATCGGTTTAAAGAATAAGAATAAGAATAAGAATAATTTATTTGCTCGAAATGTGGTACAAAGGTCTTAAAATGGTAACTGAACTACACATTTCGCCTTATCTAAAGGCATGCAAATTTTGTCTTAGCACTTGTTAAGTAAAAGTTTATCAATTATGTATGTCCAAATAATTATTCTAAATACATATTAATTGTTACATTGAATTAGTTAATTAGTGTCCAGCCAGATAAAAACGACGAAGTTAAGAGGTAGCAAACATAAAAAAAAAAAACAATATAACTGAATCTAGAACTTGCTTCTTTTTGAAAGTCGTTTAAAAAGTAAATTAAAGACAACTTTGTATTATTTATATATATTTAAACTATTGCGAAAATTCTACAACATTTTTTTCTTTGTTCCAGCTGTACAGAGAGGGCGAGTCCCGCCGACGCAACCCGCTGGGCTGGCACTCCCAGGCCAGTTTGGATTATCGAACGGGGACCCAGCGGCGGGCCTCAACAGCCATCCTTACCTCTCCTCTTATATCTCGTTACTCCTCCGGGCTGAACCCTATCCGACGTCAAGATACGGCCAGTGTGTCCAGCCAACCAACGTTATGGGAATAGATAATATATGTGAATTAGCCGCCAGGCTACTCTTCTCAGCGGTAGAATGGGCAAGAAATATACCTTTCTTCCCAGACCTTCAAGTGACCGACCAAGTGGCGTTACTAAGACTTGTTTGGTCAGAACTGTTCGTCCTCAACGCGTCTCAGTGTTCCATGCCCTTACACGTGGCACCGTTGTTAGCGGCAGCCGGCCTCCATGCCTCACCAATGGCGGCGGACCGGGTGGTCGCCTTCATGGACCACATAAGAATCTTCCAAGAACAGGTGGAAAAGCTAAAAGCCCTCCACGTGGACTCGGCGGAGTACTCCTGTCTGAAGGCCATCGTCCTCTTCACGACAGGTAAAATTTTGGATAGTCTTTTTGGAGAAGCGCGGCTGTTGCTTTACAGGGTGGCCGGGGCAGGCAGTTCTGTGACGAACTACAGCGAATTGATCGGTTTGGTGAGGACACATTTAGACGCATACGCTGAAGCTAGTCGCGTACAGCAACCGCCTGTGCCGCCCCCGCCATCCGCCGCTTCTTCAGGTTACTATTCCACGCTTGACGCGTCACTTGGTGTCAATTCCTCGTTGTCATATGGCAGTTTCCTCTCTACGCCGACTAGGTTACCGCCAAATTACACGAGTAGCCCACGAATGCCGGAACCTGCTGTTTCATCTCCATTCAAGTTATGGGACAGTGGTGGCTCGAAAATATTTAAGCCTGATCAGGGGACTTGACACCAATTGGATTGCTAATGGGTTTTGGTTCGTTGAGGTGTCGGGTGATAGCGAATGCGTTCACTGGAGTTGGATGAGATCTCAAATGTATCGTGTATTTAAGCATTAGTTAAGATTATATCGTTAGCGCGCTGTTTGTATACGGGGATAATAACTCTCACTCCTTGGATGGCGGTCGGACCGATGAATGGGAGACTGCGACTTATTGTTCTCAGATATTCCGTGATTCAGGCGCGTATCGTGATAATGTAAATATATTACATATATTCCATTGAAATCTAAAACGTTGAAATACCATAGTGTATGTAAAATAGGCGCGTTTATGGGGCGTCAAATGAATTATTTAATTTATTCCGTGTAAATTATTACGTTATTTTTTTTATTAATACACACGCGTAATTTATTATCTCTAATTCTTTTGTTTTATTTTCTTGATATATTATAAAAAATATTCCCTTTTAATAGTATGAATTATTATTATTATGAATACTAAACTATTTTATTGTGTAGAAGTTTATTATCGATGCTTCTAAAATATAATCGTGTGAAATTACGTTATACATTCATAATGCGCGAGTCTTTATGGAAAACAAGTACGTCCTAACTTAGTTAGGTTATATTTATGTATATTAGACTGATTGTCAGCTATAAACTTTCATTTTCCTACTCTTGCCGCGTATATGATTATGGTAACGTACTCTCTCGGGCAGTTTCTCGTTTATTTTAAAACGACGGACTTTATGCCACATATTACTGTTTTATGGAAACTTAAAATTGATTTTAAGGCTGTTTGGTTCAAGGAGGCGAGATATCATTTTCATAGGTTCAAATATGTGTTTTTTTTTAAACATGCCTCAGTTATTGGTGATATAAAATCAATTTACATATAATAAGGTATATGCTTAATAGAAGGTAATTTAAAAAAGATGTAAGTATAAGGCATATGAAAGGTAAAGGTTTATTTCAAGCAAAATAAGAAGATGAATGGTTGTCGAAAATACTAATAAATGTCATTGACATATCGTAGATACTTAGCTATTATTAACTTCAGACCTAGTCGAGGGACTTTTGTCTACGAAGGACATAAATCCCCGTTATATCTGAGAAAGTAACTGGAATTGTTCTCATCCTATGTTTTATGCAATTAAATTTGTTTTGGTTGACAAAATAGTACGCCGAAAATAGCCCCCACCAACACAGGCTCTTAATATTTTTACATAAAATTTCTAGTGACTTATTACAAACTTTTATAAACTAAAGAGAGGTTTAGATCACGTGACTTCAAGGTGGCCTATTTTGTCTATGATTTTAGTATCAATTTAAAGTGTGGCTCAAATAATCTGTAAAAATGACGTTTTTTAAACGCTCACAATAAGCTACGTGCTCTAGTAAGTGACTTTTCTTCCTCGGCTTCGGATACCCTTAGTTCAAACTTTTACTCTAAAGGTATTCAAATCCAACGAGTTTAAGTGAAATGCATGATGAATGAGAAGAAATGTTTTGAGAAGATATAATAGAAAAGCATAAAATTGATTTTTTAAAGAGTGATAGAATTGTGATATTTGTGGTAATGGGCATACTTAGAGGAAACAATACCCCAGTCCTCAGGAGTGATGACGCATGAGGAATGCCAAAAGTGGTGTGATTATTTTGTGATAACTGTAGTGTATATTACCTACAGGTTATGTTAAACAGCTTGTTTGCCATACCCTTATTGGGTATAAAAAATTGGAGTGTTTTAAGTCTATTGATATACATTAGCTCGTGCTTTGTTCTACTATAAATAGGTAGGTTTATTTATTTTTTATATTGGTATTAATTGATGATCATTTTAACTGTAAATTATAGGAAAATGTGTAGGTATTCAAACATAATTAAATTTAAAAAAGTATATATTAATATTTAATTTATGCAATCACATACTTACGTTTATTCGATTTTTAAAATAACTATTCTACAGCGACGGTATCTAACGACATACAACATAAAAATAACAAAGAACGCCATCTAGTGGCTTATAATTAAATATGTAAATTTTTGATTTTTTCTATTAATGTTTGTAAAACAAACATTAATAGAAAAAAATCTAAAATTTTAATTTCATCCTATACAAAATTGGACAAGTGCCACCCCTGTCTCTCTACTGGAGAACATAAACTCGTCAAATGCTCGATAATCTGCTCGTAACAGAGTCGACGGCTTCCGACATCTCCGCGACACTTTCGCCACATATCAGACTGCACCTTACATTGTACACTATGGCTTTGTATTGTGCGATCCTGTAGCTTTGTTTAAAAAAAAAAACTAATATGTATCTGTTATATTTATAAAACCTTTAATATATTCTTTACCTTTAATATAATATATACCTTTAATATAACCTTTAATATATTCTTTTTCTCTCTTTCGGTCTAATATTATTCTTTTAATTCAACTGCGTATATACTTTGATTATAAAATAATAGCTAATAGATAACTGTTAATAAATATTAATACAAAGTAAAGAAAGCAACTAAAAACTGGTAAAAATTAACTAAAAATTTGCTCAACAGTTAGGGTAGATCTTTCAAATAACTGTTAAAGTTATATGTGGAAAGATATTTATTTGAGTGTATTTAATAAGCTTATTAAAAAATAAATTACAAAATTACATTATTACAAAGTTCGTGTTGAAAAATAACGAAAAAAAAAATTCACAATTCACATGTTAATAGAAACTGTTATGATCTTATGGAAATAACAGTATAGTCGATGATACTCATAACAGTGAGATATACCTAGAATATTTAGTTAGACTATCAAATAACGTATTCTTATACACAATCCGAATACCTAACATTGTCACTAGACTAAGCGGAATATAAAAGTAGTTACTGTAGTCCACAACTGAGTCAGTCGACAAATTTGTGTAGACCCTCCGCGCCTCTCGTGTCCCATCGAAGTGTTCTGTTGTGGATGATAATAAAGGACCACTGCTCGGTCTACAGATACTGGCCAGTGAACATGCCCAGGGGTACGATGAATATGCAACACCAATAAACGTAGTTTTATCCCAGTAACTTTCTCCATTCGCAACGCCCAACTCAACGTGGCAGGATAATAGTGTAAAACTAACTTTGCGAGAGGCATCACATAGATTGATTCATTAACGTATTTATACATCGACGTGTAGTTGGGTACAATATTATATTGATAAGGATATTTCGAATACGGATTTAAAATAGATTTAAAAAAAATATGTATTGTAAAAATGTTATGGCAAAAAGTGCATAAATTGAATTTTCAATTGAGAATAATAAATTTGTGAGTGGCCTAAATACATGGCAAAAACATAATAACGATAAATACTTCTAAATTCAGATATCTTATAATTGAATATAAAATTTACAAAAAAAAAAAAAACATTTTCCGTTTCTTTACAATTTAGAATAATACTTGAAGCACAAAGTACCGTTTAGTCATTTATTTTAACATCACAAATAATTATTTGTATGTATCCGAAAGTCGATAACTTGATAAAGTGACGTCCCAAATAAGAGACCTATTATTTTACGCGTTCCGTGTGGTCGCGCAGAGACAGTGACGAATGCGCCCACTCTCACACCTGGTATCCGTCTATCTAATATTCTAGTATCACATGATTTGGTTACTCTTTACCTAGGGTTACATAGGGTGCAATTTCTAAATATCGCTATGTTCTATTTCATATTATCCAAAAACATTTTGATACATAAATAAATTAATTAAAATCGTGAACATACACACTAATAAACGACTAGACATTTCGTAAATATATAAAAATTAAAAATATTATTTGAGCGCAAAATCGTACATTTAAAAGTAGATTTTACCATGAAATGTTTTCCGAAATTTTTGCTTCGCATAGAAAAAACATTTGATGCTAAGAAACATGATACGTACCGTTTAAAAATAATAAAAATGCAAAAAATATTAATATTCAATTTAAAGTTGCTGATATAGTCATATAATGATAAAAAATCAAACAAATTAAGAGATTTAAAAAATAGTAAAAATGTGTAAATTAAATTATAATAATAAACTTATGCTCTTATGCGCTTTATACATAGCATATTAATTTACTTGGAATCTTGATACTCATATATCGATGTTCTAATTTAATTTATACTAAATCATCTATTTTTCGGATTCTATTCAGCATTACATGTTTCTAAATCCATTTTTCCTTTTATAAATATTATCTAAAAATTTCACCATCTAAAGAAAAATGGAGCTAAATTAGTACAGCGCATAATGTGTTCGCGTCATCTCCGTATATCTATTTTGATAGGTGATTCTCTAAGGCGTGAGAAAAATATGCATACATCTGATCGTAAAAGTGATGTTCTACACTGATACTTAGACAGCAAATGATGAACGATAAGCGACAATTATAAAAATATTATTTATTTATTTAACTCTTTATTGCACCATAAATAAAAATATACAATGACAAGTGAATAATTCAAGTGAAATACAGTAACATGAATACAGATTGAAATATACACATAAAGGTACAAAAGGCGGTTTTATCGCTAGGGCAATCTCTTACAGACAACCTTTTTTTATTTATTATTTATATATATACTTAAAAATTAAAAA